TGTGTGTGTGTGTGTGTGTGTGTGTGTGTGTGTGTTTGTGTGTGTGTGTGTGTGTGTGTGTGCGTGTGTGTGTGTGAGTGCAGATTAAGCTTACACTAAGCTTCTCTTTTGCCAGCCTCCCTCTGTCACTCTTGTGTTTATTCTGGTAGCTTATTATTTAGCCTTATTAAAACAGACACTCACTCCTGCCTCTGACTCAACACTGATTCAGCTCTACTGGAAAATCACTATAACAGCAGTTAAAAAAGGCAATGCAGATGAGCAGTTGAGCAGCAGTCTGTAAACTCAAGTACTAATACTTGTGTAACAGCTGTTAAATATATAATACATAACAATTCTTTATTAAAATATCTAAAGACAACTCAAATAATTTTTTGCGTGTTATCTACGTAACCCGTAGTTGTTATGGTGGTGTTTCTTGTGAACGTGTAAAGTTAGCAGATGTCAACTGGAGAGTAAGGAGGGAACATTTATATTTACTTAACTAATTTACCTTCAGTTACTAATAAAGAAACCTTGAACCTAGTGTTGGACGTGTCGCTGTAGGACATGCCCAGCGTGAGTCCAACTTGACCTTGTCTTGCTGAGCTTCTCTCCACTGAGCAGCTTTACAACAGTAACAGGCTTAACCACTGTTGATGCTTTAAGGCTCTGATTTAATGACTCACTCACATGCAAATACACACAAATCAGCAAACGCACACACGTTAGTGCTGACGGGTGTCTGATCTCCTGTCTTTCTGCCTCACTCTTCTTGTGTATATAAGTGTGTATAGACAGTATAGACAGAAAAAGAAAAGACAGAATGGAACCTGAAGGAAAATAGTGAGACAGAAAAGATTGTGTCTTTCTGTGTTTGTCCGGCAAATATTTAGTGACAAAAACCTCTCCTTTCATACATCACATGCTCTTCTTGGTGTTGCTTTAGAAATCTTGTGGGGTGACCTGGTGTGAGTGTGAGTGTGAGTGAGTGTGTGTGTGTGTGTGTGTGTGTGTGTATGTGTGTATGTGTGTGTGTGTGTGTGTGTCTTTATGGGAGGTCAGGGGGTGTATATCCAGCAGAATGTCCATGAGAATTCCTGACATCATTTCCTGTCCCACTCACACACTGCTCTCATTCCCACAGGCTAAAGACATCTGGACACACACACACACACACAGGAACTAGTTGTTAGGATCATTCTCATGATATCAGCACAGCAGTATTGTGTTTGCCTTAAGGGACTGACTAGAGACACTTCTGTTCATTACACGGTCTTTCCATCCTGATCTCATCTTTCATTATTGTGTAAATATGGGGTCAGGTCCTAATAACTGGAACAAGTATGATTTCGAAAAACATGTAATGTTTCTTTTTATTAATAAGTCATGTTGCTCTCTTTGATTGATGCCTTGTCTATACTACTGGAGATCATATTTTTTGAACGGATATCATCCTCTGTTTTAAAAAAGATCTCTGTCCAGATTAGAACACAAAAATGACTAATGCTCAAACAAACATGCTGAGCCAGTCTACCTTGATGATCATTACCAGAGAATAGAATAATGAGCATGCTCAGTTAACTTATTGAGTTAACTTATTGAGTGAGCTTATTGAGTGAGCTTATTGTTGTTCTTACATATATTCTTTTTTGTGATGTGGTGAGATTTTCAGTAGAAGGTCACAAATTCTCAGGACATAAACCGAAACCATCTGTGGGAAAATCAAGTGGGAAAAATGTTTGATTGTAATTTGAGTGACGTGATCTGACATGTTGAAACCTCTTGGAAATGATGCTGTTTGCTCTCAGGTGTAAGTTGAAAAGATTGATTCAGCACAGAGTTAGTTGGGAGGTGTTTAACATAGAGTAGCACAGAATGGAATAGTGTTTCATTCTGGTCCCTGGTTGCCCATATAAGGGGAGACCACTGACCACTGCTGACAGCTTCACAATGCTATGTATAATATTTATACTACATGTGTCATGTACACACTGCTTTTAGTAATGTAAACATTATATATACTTTAAATCATTGGGACACATACTGGATAGTGCTGTCAAGACCAAACTGAGATAATGCTGAGATAATACTCCATGTGTAACCTCAGGTCTTAACATTTAAAACACACACACACACACACACACACACACACACACACACACACACACATATAATCATTTGATGAGAGCAGTATCCGGTACATTCATCTGATCTGAGCGGGGCCAGTTCTCAGTCTGATCTCCATATGTTATGTACTGTGTGTGTGTGTAGTTGTACTGTATGGTAGCCTCTTTTAATACACACTTCATACACACACATCCCAGCCCCCACTCATGCACCACGTGTCAAGCACACTGTTGGAAGTACTGACTCCATGCAAGTATCACACTGTACATCCCTGCTGATAGTAGGAACTGTGGTTTCCGTTTTTCTTTGTGTGTGTGTGTGTGTGTGTGTGTGTGTGGGGGGGGGCGTGTGTGTGTGTGTGTACGCAGCAAGCTCTGCCAGAGAGTCCCCCCATTTTTAGTNGTACTGACTCCATGCAAGTATCACACTGTACATCCCTGCTGATAGTAGGAACTGTGGTTTCCGTTTTTCTTTGTGTGTGTGTGTGTGTGTGTGGGGGGGGGGGGGGGGGGGGGGGGGTGCATTTTCTCTGCAAGCTCTGCCAGAGAGTCCCCCCATTTTTAGTCATTGTTACTACATTTGCCACAAGTATGAATGACTCCTGTCATTATTTTCTCAAATAGAATTACATTGTTATTTTTGCGAACATAACTCTTAGATGGTTTTGAAGGTTAGTGCAGTAAAACACACTTTGACTACCAACACATTACGTAGGCGTATTGCATTCCTAAGAGAAAATCTGCTCTGTTTTTCTGAATTAACAAGATACACTATGGAAAAAGTTGGATTTTGTCTTTTTTAAGATCTTGGACTTTTTTTGCAGCACCCTGAGACAACAGTTTGTTGTGATACTGTGCTATATAAATACATTTGATTGATTGATTGATTGACTGACTATCTCTCACTCCCAAGAAAAGCTGTAATTAAGCAAACTTTGAGAGTGTCGATATATTTATATATATATATATATATATATATATACACACTTGATAGATGTGTGTATGTATGAATAGATGGATGGATGGAACGATGTTTGGTGATAGTGGCGGTGAGATCACACTTTCCCAACTGCCGAACAACATGCCAAGGATTGTGGGAATTCATCACATTCCATCACCGCTGTCACTTACCTCCCTCCGTCTCTCCCTCTCTCTCCCTCTCTCTCTCCCTCCCTCCCTCTATCCAAAGATAGATGGATCACAGCCTGTACTGGAA